AAAATTCACGAACAAGCAATGAAGTATGAGAAGGTGCATTATCATGCAACAAAAGCCACGAATTGTTTTTCCACACATCCTGGCAATTTTGCAGATTGCTTCACGCAAAAGTTTACATAGTGAAGTACAACCTTCACGTTTGACCGCACTTGATAAGCTTTTTTTGGTCTTGGCGAGTCAGAACGTCTGCACTGGGTTGATTGAGTCTTATTTTCGGCTTCTTATCCAAAAACCCATGTTTCGTCACCTGCTATAACAGGTTTCAGTAATTCTGCATCGTCGTTGATTTCATTTAATGACTCCTGAGTCACCTTCATTTGTTCCTGTTTTTGTTCAACATTCAACAATTTTGGAACAATTTTGCTGCCACTCGTTTCATTCCCGAAACAATCGAAAAAATGTCACGGCATAAGACAATCAATATGGCAACATCATCAGCGACTTCTCTGGTTGTTATCTGATAGCTCATAACCACTTCTTTTACTTTTTCCATGTTTTCGTCGGTTGTCTTCACGGCCATCTTGGAAAGGCTCATGTCACTCGCAAACTCTTGTTTTACTCATAGCATATTCACCGTATACTTTGATACAATTTATCTCAATTTTTATGCAAAATTTGATACAATTTTGTTTTAACACACAAAAAACACCGAGCTCCATCCTTAGCGCTGCCACAGACACAGGTAAAAATTAATACAGCTGAAAATTTTATCAAACCTCAGAGGAATGTATACCAATATAATGAAAAAATTTACAATCGGAATTTACAAACTCTTTAAATTTGAATATTCCTGTTATATTCTGAACAAACCTCGTACATAGTAAAAATCAACCAGTGTGTTCACTCTTCTACCACTACTTTCATTCATGAATTCATATAAAAACGAAATTTAAGGATATTATAGAAGGTTTTGTGGCAAGTTACTTATAACCAACTACAAACACTAAAAACAATAACAACAGCGAATAAACTAAACACAACATCAATTTCCAACCGGTCATTATAACTAATCCAAAGCTCGTGGTACCGTCGAATCCTTGGATACTACAGCACTGAACGCGTTGGATGAGGATCTCATCCTAAGAGCGGTTGGAGGTCCCCGGCAAATCGGGCGGATCATGTGGTAAGAGAACCTACTGGGTGTATTATTCTCCTGTGCCTCGTATACCATGCGCTCAAGAAATTACAATTTGAAATTGCTTGAATTGTTTGCTCTCTGGCTAATAAACTAGGAAACTCATTGGAGGAAAATACAGACTAATGACATACTCGATATAACCTCATCTCCTTAAGTAATCACTTTATCGATCTTTTTGGGATTTTCATTTTCCACAATCTAATAGTCCCCAGAATAGTTGATGAAAAACTCTTATTTCGTCCACGAATCTAAACATTTTGCTGTTACATCCGCTAGAAAATTATTTTCTCTGACCTCGTTGATAACAAATATGAAAATGTTGGCTGAAACTTCTTTTTGAAAACAGATTTGCTATGAATATAAATAACTTCCAACTACAGATTGGTCAATGCTTAATTCCAACTTATTTCTGATCGACATTAACGGTACTTAATATTACGTCTTACATCATGATTCCTTGTATTATTAACTGTAATTCCTAAACAGACAAGCTTAATGATTACGGCTGGGCATTAACATCTTCAATGTTGTTCTATCCTGTGATAAATGATTGAATTTGATTGATGGTCAATTCAATCTGTTAACAATGAAGTATGTGCTGAGTTTAAAAAACGAAACACATATGGTCAATCTCGTGGAGATTGAAACTGTAATTAGCATTCGTTTTTATATCAGTTCAAATACAGAGTTTATTGGACACACGGTAAGATGACCTTTCACTGGAATTACATTTTGGAAAACAAAAAATTGATTCAAGGAACACGTCTCTAAGCATGTCATATAATTTTTTATCGCGTTTGTAAATTCATGCTAGAAGTGGTAAGTTTGAAGGTAAGATCTCGGTAAACCGTAGCATGTGGAAAATAATTTTTAATAACGTTTATTGTGCAAAAACAAGTTTTATACACAAAGGGAAAAGGGTTAGCTAAAGGCTATCTTCCACCCGTCCCATAATTAAGAGAAAAAAAAAGCATACAGTAAGACTATAAGTAACAGTTACAATAGACACAAAAATAATATAAAAAAAACTATTATGGAGATAATATAAAAGATTACAATCATTTTTGAACATCTAAGAAATGAATTTTCAAAGTTTTTTTGAATTGATATATAGACAAATGAATATACGGCAATAAATTATTTAGATACTTCAGTCCAACAAGTAATTAGGAGTTTTGCTTTCCAATAGTTTATGTAAGAATACATTACGAATTCTAAACTCAATATTCAGTTGATCTAATTTCAATAAATATGGAGTTACATGATCACGGTAGTTTATGCAGCACACAAATCGCATACAAGCATTTTGTATGCGTTGAAGTTTGTGTTTATTATAGTCTGGCAAGAAGTTGTAATACACTGAGCAGCAATACTCAATATGGGGATAAATCAATGATTGAACTAATTTCAGTTTTGTTTCTTGAGAAAGCTGGAACTTGAACTTGTATAAGGATTTCAGTTCAAAAAAGCAAGTTTTGTAAATGTGTTTAACGTGCTCGTTGAACGAGAGAGTGTTATCGATATATACACCTAAATTTTTTTCTGAATTCGCCCAGTCAATCGGTTCATTGTCAAGAAAAAGATGGAAATTTGTTTCAACTTCATTTCTTTGTGGGTCAGATCCCAAACATAGGGCTACTGTTTTATTTGGATTCATTCGAAGGCTATGATTTTTGGAAAATAGAAGTGTATTTTCTAAATCTAAGTTCATCCTGGTGATAGCATGGTAAATATTATTAGATTGACTTGACAGATATAATTGAAAATCATCAGCATATAAATGTACGTCGCACTGGGATAACATGGCAGGAAAGTCAAAAATGAAAAGAGAGAACATTAATGGACCTAGAATGCTACCTTGTGGTACACCAGAAGAATTGGTGTTTATAACTTACCTCAATGTTCATCCGAGTGACTGTTTTGCATATTTTGTGCATTTTTTCTTTTTTTTTAACACGCTTTATATAAGCTTCACCTTTATGTATGTGTCTTTGTTTGTTTGTAACTCTCCTTTTCATTTCATATCGGGCTCTGTATTTGACATAATTATGGACATTATTGCTTGATCTATTCGCGGGCAGATGGCGCTGTACGTAACCTCTTTGATATATCGACATTATTCCTTGATCTACTCGCGGGCAGATGGCGCTGTACGTTACCTCCTTGATATATCGACATTATTGCTTGATGCCAATTATCTTAATGGAAGAAGTTAAAGAGTTTCATGCGCCCGTCGCTTTTTTCACAATAATACTAGTATTTTTCGTTCGTTATTGTTTTAAGCTTGTTTAAAAAAATATTTTTAACTTTTTAGTTCGATGTTCTTTAAAAGCGTGTTTTTTAGTTTTCTAAACTATATTTATTTTTTATTCATTTTCATTTACAAATTTCACCTTCGGTACGTTTCTATTCATATTTAATTATCAACTTCCATATTATTATTTATTTTAACTTGATATACATTTATTTGTAATGTTATGTACATATTTGATGTACACAAAAAGCATTTTCACGCATAGATGCGTACTGCGTTTCAAAAAAATATTTTGATAACGAAGGTAGTTCAACAGTTGTCATGTTTGGGACATAAGTTCATCATCAGTTTTTTTTTTCGAAATAAACTCGAAAATAATCCCAAATATTAGTATGTTATCAAAGAAACATCCTTGTATAATTTAAATAATTGAATTAATGTTGGGTAACATTTTTCTGAAGTGGTTTTTTGTTACAAAGTTGATATTGATTCATATTAAACATTAGTGGAATACTCGAAATAGTAGAATAGTTTTTTTGTAATGCTAGTTTTTCTTCAAGTGTTTCTTCCTAAATGAAATGAATAAATCTTGACTTTCATTGTCTCCATCAAATCCCTTTTCATCCATACATATTAAAGCGATTCGTAGTTGTCTTCGACGCCAACTCGATAATGAAAATTCCTCATTTAGCAGTATTTTACTTCGAAGAGGAGATACGCTTCTTTAATATGTAGTTGGAATCAATTTCCTCACTTTGAGTTGAAAGTCTGAAAGTTGGCACTCGATAACAAAGCGGCACAGGGTCAATAGCCCTTCGGAAGCCGTTCTTGTGGAACATAATAACGTTCATCTCGGCGGTAAAGTGCATTCTATAAGTGCGCTCGAGGAATACGAGGAAAATTAGTTTTTTCGAGAACTGGGGTGATGCAATAGGAAATCGAGTCGGTAAGAGTTTCCACTTATTCGTGTCGTGCATTTAAAACCATTTATTGTTACTCGTCGGGGTATTAGCTAGGCAAGTAGATTGTTTTGAGCAATAGTATCAACTGGCTATCGGTCAAGATTATATCTTAATGGTTTCCAGAGTTGATCATATATGTAGGGTCTTCCAACAAGGCTTCCGAACTTTGACAATTGATAACGACCACCTTGCTGAAGCTACATTTGTTAAATTATTTGTCCTTTATTCAGTCTGTTTTGCCAAATCACCACGGATGGATATAGCATTCGACTTTATTGATTTCAATACTCGTATAAACAAACATTGCTTATTTTGTCTATACACACATCGGAAAAGTCTAGGGATATTTTTATAACATACTAAATATCATAAAAATTAGTAGTGTATGANTGTGTATTTTACTATCGAGACTGATATTTTTGGTGAATGCGCCAATATTTATGTAATTTACACAAATGCATTGCGATGAATAACATTCACTCTGAAGTTTAAACAGAATGTGACCGTACTTGTTTTAAGACAAAAATAATAGATTCGTTTCAGAAATTTAACCTGTTGAATTTTTATTTTTTATCGATAATGGTCATACTTCAAAAAATAGTGTATTGATTTTGCGTTTATGTACTAAATGATACTTTTGTTTCAGGAGCCACTCGAGAAATTGGAACAGCACTGACTCGGATATGCTTAAGACATAAGGCGGTTGAGGCTCGAATAAAGAATTTCACAAGGTATGTGATTTTTTATCGAATTATTAAGATATTTTGGTTGCTACGAATCAATATGTGTGTACATAAAGAATAGAAGTTTTTAATAGATTTCATATTGTGTCAAAGCTATTTTTCGAGATTGTTGGCCCTAGTCTATTGGTTTGTATGCCTGATATTTCGTCTTCAATTGCTGTAGTCTTTATCAAAGACGGCAGTGTTTTATTTACCCCCCACACAAACATACTACTATTCCCCAGCAAAAACTTCCTGGGTATAAAGTATGTGCTGTGAGGACAAACCGCTTTTGATTTGGTTTACCGCAGTTGTAGACGAAACATTAGACACAGTTATCTCAGGCCGTGAACGTTTCATTGTTAGATTTTGTGTCATTTCTCGACAGTATTGTAAACGAGTCACGTTGCCTTCTTCAGTTGTCAGTTGTCATTTTTCCTACGGCGAGGAAATTACTTATTCAAGTCAGATCATCTTTTGGTTCCTGCCGTGGATCTACAGGTTTCAACCCCTACGATGTCTAGGCGATACGTGGTAATACCCATCCTGGTAAAAAAATCATAGAAATTAATATATTTTTCATTTTTGAGGAATAAATAATAATCATTATCATTAGGAAAGATATTAAATATTGTGGTTGTAATAGGAAAATTAATTTACTTGAAAGTCGAAAGGGGCAAAATGGGGTGAACTTTTAGGAATGGAAAACAGTTTTTCACTATTTTGGTCGAAACAGGCCTCTTCAATTTGTAAATAATTGAAAAATCAACAACTGCGTTGGAATCTTTTTTTTTCTAAGTTGTTAAGAGAAGAAGAATTTTCCTTTCAATTTTCAGCTATTGAAGTGGTTTATTTCTCACTGAATTTGAAAAAAACCATTTTTTTTTTTGTACTGAGGAAATCTATGTTTTATTTTATGTTGAAACAGTTACCCAGCAACTATCCTCCAGGAATGTACATCTGGTAGTAGGAGAATTGTTACTCAAGATGCTCTCTAGTGAGCAATAAGTATCAATGTAGAAGACATCACAGTGAGGGGATTGGTTCTGAGGGGATGTCCACAGGAAGGGGTCTTATCACCCTTTCTTTGGAACATAGTTCTGCATACCTTGATTAATCACCTCAACAATAATCGATTCTACACAATTGCATATGCAGATGACATAGTTATCTTGCAGACCGGCAAATTTATGAACACACTGTGCGATACAGCACAGGATGGGCTCAAATCAATAGAAATATGGTGTAAGGAACACTCACTGTCGATCAATCTCAAGAAGACTGAGATGGTTCTTTTCCCAAAGAAAAGAAGTTTATCGAACTTGAAACCTTCCGAAATCTTCAAAAGCAAACTAAACTTCACTGAAGAGGTGAAATACCTTGGTACAATCCTCGACAAGAAGCTAACATGGAACTCTCACCTACAGAGTAGATCAAAAAGAGCATGAGTGGCTTATGAGTAATGTCGGAGGACGGAGGGATTCGCATGGGGTCTTTCACCCCGTGTGGTCACCCGGATCTACACTGCAATAATAAGACCTATGTTAACGTATGCTTCGGTAGATAATAACATTATCCTGAGGTGGGTTAAAGGGCACGACAGGAGTAAAGGTAATCGCATTGCCGACTCTTTAGCCAAGAAAGCGGCGGGACTAAGAATTTTAGGACCCAGTAGCACCTACGGCCTGATAACTTCGACAATTGCGGAACCAGCCAAACGTCACACCCATGCTCAATTCCTAAAGAGATGGGATGGAATCAAAGTATGCAATCTTGCCAGGATCACCCTGGGCGACCCTGGGAAGCTGGCGCGGAAGAAATATCTGGCGATGACCAGGAAAAATCCACGCCTAACACTAGGATTTCTGACTGGCCACTGTCAACTAAGGAAACACCTCCATAATATGGGGCTAGTGGACACACCTCTATACAGGATGTGTGAACAGGAAGATGAAACTGTCAGGCATGTCCTATGCGAGTGCACGGAGGTATCGTCAATAAGAGAGTGTGTGTTCGGCGAGTCTTGGCCTACACCTGTCGATATAAAGGAGATGTCTCACAGTGACTTGTCCACCTTCCTCGAAAGGACAGGATGGACGATGACCTAGCTAGGAGGACAAATCTTCGGGAGGATGTGCTAGTTTTGTCAATATTTGCATTCAAAATGAAACGCTTTGTCCAGAATTAGAATTTTATGACAATTTATCCAGTAGTATTGTTAATTTTCTTTCACACCACCTGAAAGTAGACAACTCAACAAAAATCCACTGTTAATTTTGAAGAAAAACTGTTTTCGGCACATGGGTATTTCAGGCTAAAATTGAAATATTTTTAGGTTTCGATTTAAAAAATTACATCATATTCAGGTTTGTTTCCATTAAATATCGTGAAACAATCAAATCAATTAAACGATTTTCCAGTTTTTTTATAGGTTATGTGGAGATATGGTTCATACATCAGTTGTTTTTTCAGTAGGTGATTGATAGATAGATAGATAGATACATAGATAGATATATTTTATGGAAATAATGAAAAACCAATCATAAAATTCACCCTATTTCATTTCCCTCACCTTGAATCAACTTCATTTCATAATTCCTGATTATTTTTCGAGCCTTTATATCCCTGTACATTGTTTTCTCTAAATACGAACGCTGAAATAGTCCTCTTGTAAACCGTGATTATGTATTCGCTTTACGGAAGTTGCTCAAGTTTAATTCGAAAACTTGTTTTCCAGCGTTATCATGGAATGTCTCATTCTACCGCTTCAGGATAAGCTGGAAGAGTGGAAGAAGACCGTTCTCTATAAATATCTTGCTGATAATAAATTCTACCATAATTTTACAATGGAATTTTACACTTTACCATAATTTTACAGCGGAATTTCACACTCCAATATGATTTTACACTGCAATTTTTCATTTGAAGGTTATCTTACCTTCAACTGTGGCGCTGTAAGTAGGTAGTAGGTATTGTAAATAATTTTAAAGGAAATGATACCTTAATCGTATGTTGATACTTGTATAAACACCTTGGATAATCAACTTGAAACGAAACTGAACAAAATAGACATCTTTGAATTTATTCCTTTTCACCTCCAGTAAAAATTTGTTAGAAGTATTACTGAAAAATAAAAACTTGAACTATTCAGATCAACATTTCTTCCTTAACATCTCATTTTTTTAATTTCTTTCTCAAACATTGGTGGTGTTATTATGTAAGAGAAATGAAAGATCATGATATAAAAGATAAGTTCATAAATTTGAAAAAAATTCTTTTCGGTACATTTCACAATCCTAATCGTCTAAACTCCAAAAACTTGAAAAATGAGTCCGAACACGATTACCTGGGTCCAACCTGTTTATGTGTGATTCCTAGCACGGGTCAAACGATATGCAGTGAAAATCCCACAGTTTGAACCTAACTAATCCTCACATAGTGGCTAACCAACCGGCTACCAACCGATAAAGGTTGTATGAGCGGAGAATGATAATGTTTTTTTTTCAGAAGTTGTTTCACATTCGAATTGGGAAAAACACACCCAAGAATGTTTCTCCTGAGAACTATATACAGATACTTTTCAGTTTACAATACTGACGTTTCTGAAACGTTCAGACATATTCAATCGTCAATACAGAAATTAACACCAATATGAAATGTTATTTCTCATCGAAATTCATTTTTAAATTGTATAATTTACACGAAAGCACTGATGGCACTACAACTATATCTGCTTGGAATTTATTCCCCCAAATATCTAGGACTAGGATTCAATATTATGATTAGGATTGAACTGTTATCACAACAGTATTCCAAAATTTCTTTTGTGATTATTCAAAAATCAAGTAACATGTTACCGATTAAAAGATACAAATAAAATAACTCTAATTGTGAGGTTGGGATTTACTCATCATTAAAAAAAATATCTATACTTCATAATAAGAAGACTCTAATCAGCACATGGCGATAATTTACATTACTGCCGCCGGGAATATACATCAGCCAGGAAAAAAACCTTTTTCCGTGAATTGAAGCGTTATGATTTCACACATGTATCAGATGAATATTCAATTCTCAATGAAAAGTTCATTGCTTATTAAAATTTTTTCATTTTCATATTTCAGAGTGAACATTTGAACGTGAATTTCAATCATTTTATTCAGTGTAATTTCTATATCAAGTTTAAGTTTATTCAAGTATTGCATGTGCAAAAAAATATTACAATTTTTTTTTGCAAAATGGGGTTAATTTGCTCTCTGAGTAAAACATACCTAGGCATACTTGCCTGTGTGTGTGTTTTCCAGGGCTTCTCTAAAAAAACTATACCCAAAAAATATGGCTTGAATAAAGGTTGGAAAGCTTTAAGAAGCGACATTTTAATACGAATAAATATCCGTACGATAGAGGGGGACTCATCATTGCAGCTGAGCGCGGAGCGTCGCTCGAATGAAAGAGTTTGCGTGCATTCGATAATTGAGAAGGATAGCGATATACTAGTAAATACTGAGCATGATTTTGGAGCAGTCGACCATTAATCTTGGAATTGAGACAACATGCTACTACGTATTATTATTTATTGTCGGTATATCGTGATAAAAATGGCCTAAAAGTGTTTTATGTATGACTTTGAACCCTTCAAACTTCCGGAGATGATATCAACGATGTGTCCTGTAAGATCACCCGACTTAACCCCTTCATACTTTCTGTAGGTCCTTGCGGGTTATCGGGGAAGTTGTTATGAAACAAACAAAAACAAGGGTCAGAACTACGCTTTTCGAAACGCTTGAAGCAAGTTTTCTTTTCCGACAGCATCGTGCGGGATATCGTTCCGAGTACAACCGGTGATCAGTAACTGCAATTTCCCGGCATTTTCCATAAATTAGCTGCAATTTATTTCTGTTATCTATCATTTTATCGAAACACCAAAAGTCTAAAGGGGTTAGGTCAGGTGATCTTGCAGACAACCTGGCAGAACCTGTGCCCTAATACATTACTCAAATATCAATACGGGGTGTCATTGTATTCAAAAAATTATGTAGATATCAAAAATGTAATAACAGGGCGTTCCATTTGAAAATCAAACGTTTATGTGATTTTCTAAAAAAAAAAACCGGAAGTTCAAAAAATCTCCCCTTACGTCAAAAAATTGCCTCTTTGTGAGGCATATGCTAGGTCCCAGTTATTTCCATATCCCGCTCGTTGATATAAAGAATTCCGCCGGTCGTTAGCTTTATCCTTATAGAGCTTTTTCCAATGCGCTGCTGCGAACTTCAGAAATGATTAGCTTTACTTTCGGAATTTACCCAGATTTCACCCTTCCTTGGCTCTATTTAGTCTCTGAAAAACTTCCAGCTAATAATGACTTCACGTCGGCGATATCGCGGGAGTCTTTATGGTTTCGCTATAAGTAGGGAAGGATGTCGAGCAAAGGGACTTCTCAGAATTGACGTGGGTATTTTATTGGCACTGAAAGTGAAATGCATTGGCGGGTTGTGTATTTTTCTTTTCACCGTTTCGAAGGATTAAAAGGTGAAACTTGAACATCGGCGTAGAATAAATCTAGTCGATTTTCTGGGAAAGGCATCACATACTGGAATTAACAATGCCGAAATTCACTTTTTAACAACGTATAGTCAGGCGAATTCTGAAACAGGTTAATATCAACGAGGCGCCTGGTCTTGATGAACTGTTCGTCATCGTACTTGAAAAGTGCGCAAATGAACTCGTACCAGTATTTTGCAGACTTTTCAGCCTGTCTTCTTGTTGGAAGATTGCTCGCGTTTAACCTATTCCCAAAAAGGACAAGACAAATCTTCCAAATAACTATAGACCAGTCGCTTTGCTATCAGTGATATCAAAACTCCCGAAGAAAGCCTAAACCATCATATCCTTAAATATTTGGAAAGCTTCAACATCTTGAGCGATCATCAATATGGCTTTCTGAACCAAAGATCAACAGGCAACCTTCTGTAGTATGTCACTCATATTTGGAATAACGCAATCGAGAAACATGGAGACTCAAGAGCTGTTGCCATGATATTTCTAAGGCATTTGACCGTGTGTGGCATGAGGGTTTGGTGCCAAACTTCGATGCTATGGCTTATAGGATTATTTTTGTGTATGACTCTCCAGGAATACCATCAACGCTGGTGTTTCCCAGGGATCCATATTGTATCCAATCTTCTTTTTATTGCATATCAACAACATTTTGAAAAAAAATACGAATCCCATATATTGCTTTGCTGACGACAGCACGTTTATCTCGCCATTTCATTTGTATTCCAGGACATCGGCTACGGATGCACATCTTCACCTGCAGCAGGAGGTTGCATATCTTAATGAGGATCTGGAAGTGATTTCGAATTGGGGTGAAAGTAACCAGATTCAGTGTCATTGCTTTTCGAGTTTGAAAGCCATGGATTTTTGGAATTTCTTCCTGACGTTTCGCTGGCGCTAGTGGCTAGCTTCTTCAGAGGTTTAACCATCATGGCTTGCTGTCCNTCCATTTCCAGAAGAAAGGTTTGAAACTTTACCTGTTGGAGAGTATGGAAATAAATAAATTCAAAAAATCTCAATATCTTATGAACGATCAAACTTTTAGTTTACGCTCGAGGAAGTTATTGTATAGCGAAACACGTGTCGCGGTTTTTGTAAAACCCTTTATAGTGAAAATCACACAATAAGCTGAACATTAGTTTTAGAAATGTAAGGAACTCTACAAGTAGTCAAAACTCGACAAGAAAATAAAAAAGTCTGTAGTATTTTTCCTCTCTTTTTTTAATTCACACGGTCCTTTGTGGAGTTCTTATTGTAATTTTTTCGAATAAACATATTTATGTATTTTTCCATAAATGGAAGAAGTTAAAATATATGGGATAGATGTAAATACAGAAAACTACGACTGAAAACTCAAACCCCATTCCTAACTGTAAGAGTAGACAAAATGCCTAGGAATTAGTAAATCAGAATGAATAATCAATGAATAATTAAGTAAAAGTATTGACCTTTTATTTTTCGCCAAAAACATTGTGTCATTTCAGCGTAATCCGTACACTGATTGGACAACTAATTGATATGAGTCTCTTTTATGTTGGCCAGTTATTTTGTATAAAGACTTTGTCTTCGTTAAACCCTGTTAGTATCGATCTTCATCAAGGGTTGTTGGACCCCCGTGGCCTAGTGACTTTCAGACTGCACGTTTTGGATACTCGCCAATGGTTGCTTTAACAGGGGTTTGTTCACGTTACTTGGTATACGAGGCGTTTCATTGGAAAATGCTCATTCCATATGTGTAGATGGGGAACTTCCAGGCGGTTGTTAATAATAATAAATGTGTTTATTGTTTACAACTAATAAGATTCAACAGATAATGAACAGTATGGACAAAAATATGAATAAGTTGGAAACAAAACGTTAAGTGGAAGAGCAATTAATAACGATAAATCGTTATTAATTGCTCTTCCACTTAACTTCAAAAAGTCGCTGCGGTGTTACAAGAGCATTATTATAAAATAATCCGTTCTACTGTAATCCAGGCATGGTATAATAAGAATAATAAGAAAATAGATCATCGAGTTTCCAATAAGTATTTCTTAAATCTAATTTGAAATCGCTGAAGCCCACTCTTTTTGATTATTTCAGGAATATTATTATAGATTGCGCAAACTTGATAACTGAAACTGCGTCTGAAAAGTTCAAGTCGAATATTTGGAGGTGTTCATAAACATTTATTTCTAACATTGAGGTTGTGAACATCTGTCTGATGAGTAATTTTTCTATGCATAAATGTTGGGGTTTTGGTCAGTATGACTTTATGGAAGAGTTGAACATCCATTTTGTGCATTTAGAAACTTGCGGTTCTAACAACTTA